ACACACACACACACACACACACACACACACACACACACACACACACATATATATATATATTCTGTAAAACATACTGGACCACAAGTAGCTGCTCTGTTATCAAGTTGGCTTAATATGTAACCGTGCATTCTAAGAGGTGAGTGGTATGTCAGCAACTGTCAGCTACTTAACAGCTCCCCTTGACCAGTTAGTGCCTTGCTAAAGGGCATTCAGTCATAGTGGCTGTACAATTCTTAAAGGAATACTTCAACATTTTAGCTTAGCACAAAGACTGGAAACAGTTAGCTTGACTCTGTCCAAAGCTCACAAAAAATGTGCCTTTTATGTGTTGTTTGTTTAATCCATACAACAACCTGAACTGTAAAAATGACGCATTTGACGCATGTGCCAGACGTATTTTTGGCCGGATGGAGTAACCTGTCAGAGTGAGAGTTGTTGATATTATGGCTTGTCCATCTCAAGCATCCTACAATCCACTCTAATCAAAGATGCAGGCAGTCTTGTGAATTTTCTAAACAGGCATGACAGAAGAAGTGCCAACTGAACAATCAAATTTACAGTTTTAGTTGGATGAGAGCTATTAGATGGGATGGGGCACTGCCATGAGTTTAGAAATTGCGTCTGATATAGAAAGATATGCTCTTTGAAACTTAAGTTAAGACAAGCAGTTAGGATATTTGTCTGTAAGGTCCTAGGACGCTAATGTGTCTTTCCTTTACCACTCTGTCACTGGTCCCTACTTCGTAAACAGTCTACCGCCTGACTTGAAGATACAGCACAGTTCCACTGGGAGTGACTTAAGAAAAACCTGAGTGTATTAAAGACAAGATCAAGGACAAGTGAAAGAGGAATCTAATTATTGGCTGATTCCAGGGCAGTGGGCTAATGAGCTGCACAATGCTGTTGGGTTTCAGTGGAAGTTATTCCTGACACTGCTGCTCGCCACTCTCAATGTGACTGTGTGTCTGTGAGTGTGTAATCTTTTTACCATAAAGATCTGGCATGCAAAGAGAGCTGCACACAAGGTATAGGCCAGCCTGTCATGATATGTAAAAGAAGGTCGTTAAACTTCCAGATAAGCATCACAATGAGATCTCTCTGTGCAAAAAGTAGTTTGTCAGACTTTCACACAGTTCTTGAGCTGGTTTGAGTCTTTGCTGCAGAGTACTGAAGTGTTTAATACTGACAAGAGGTTCATTGCAACCCATTTGTTAACAGGCCCTTCAGGAAATCTACAAAATATAACAGAAACCAAACTATTTAGACAGTTGTCCTTCTTGGTTTTGTTGGAATTTACATGTAACTTATTGACATTTTGGGAAAAATTGATCTTTAATTGTGTGGTCTCTGAACACATAGAGGACAGGTGATTTAACTACCAGCAATGTTTTCAGCAGTTTATCCTATAACAATACAACTTTTAACACAGTGCTTTCAGGCTAAATGAATACCACTTCCACTCTGCAGTACTAGCACCAAGATGCTAACAAAATGTTGACAAAAGCATCCCGGAGAATGTTTAAAGCATCTCACTGAGCCCTGCATGCATCTATAAAGGAAAAGGCCGGCATCATATCCACTCTCTAAATGCTACTTAATGACATTATAGCAAATTTAGCTTTGCAACCCGCAACCTTGGCCTGCATAATCAGCTAAGCCACAAGCCACTAACAGGGGAGTTTTCTCCAGAATGCCAGCGACGTATCAACGTATCAACATGTGGCAGTTATATTTGGAAAGTTGAGCTATTCCCAGGGAGAATGTCCCAAAGAAAACAGTGAAACCAGGAAGTAAATCTTTCCACGGAATCTGTGGAGTCTGCTAGAGGCCTAGCTGAAAACCGTCAAGCTCATCAGTTTCTGAAAATGAACTAGAGGTTTCGTCTGTTTGCTGGTTGGTGAGCTGAGGGAAGTATGTCTAAATTACTTCCTGCAATTAGCTTTCACGGTTGTCGTGTAGGTAGTGTACAACTTCAGTGTGTCTCGCGAATCCAATGTAAAAAGTCATTATTGTCAATGAAGATGAAGAATTTCTATACAGAAACAGATTAAATCAATAGCTGACCCCCATCGCCATAAGACATCTAACGTCAAGTGAACTGATAAGAGCTCATTCACATTTAAGATGTGTTTAAGTATTAAACTTTCACTGAAGTTGTACACCAGACTGGAATATATGTTAACTTGTGTAAACACTCATTCCACCACACAAACCAATCTTCCTGTTGATCAGGGATGGAGCTCAGGGACAGGAAGCACAGGAAGTGCTGGACCACAGTCGGCAGACGACATCCTGGGAGGGGCAGTTGGTGTGGTGGAGGGGGGGGGGGGGGACCTGCTTCCCAACTCTTATACCATAAGAGGAGGTTTTGAGTCCCACTTCCCTTTTCATCTGGTTTAAGATATGGATCACAGACTGTTTCTGCATTCTACACCAATTATCACCATGGAGACCATCGTACACAGCATACATACAAAAACTTCTAAAAGGGAAATTTATGCTTTTCATGTCTTTTTTATCATTTGATTGTTCTGCAGTTCACCAAGTCATTATTTTGTCTCACAAAGAAGCAAAACTCACAAATTTGCTTCCATATTATAAGGAGCTAACCAGACCCACCAGATGGTTCGTTACACAGAACAATCTGAGAAGCAGTCATTGGAAACTGTTTGGAAAAGGAACTTTCAAAACACTCTTACGTAATACAAGGGGGACAACATCTTCACCATTGAGAAAAGCCTTCGGTGCCATTCTTTGCTCTTCTTTCCATAAAGAAATACTCTCCGGTTCTGATATAACTGATGCTCTTGCAGCATCTACGCAAACCTGTTTAGGAGATGCCAGTGTTGTTTAGAACGTACCGTCCCCTCTTTGTGTCGTTACGTCACACGCCTAAACCCCGCCCCTAGCTGCCGGCAGCACCTAACAAGACGCTGATTGGTCTGAGCCACTGACAGTTCGGATACAAACGCATTACCTGAAACCTGACAAGATGGATTTTCATGTGATCCAGCTGCCATGCAAGGTAAATAAAGAGCGGCAAATCTGGTTCATCTGTGTTGCTCACACAGCTTTCAGGTTGATGAATAAAGAACAAACCATCATCTTTGGCCTGACTCTCAACTCTGAACCTTCAAACAAGTAACTGCTGTGAAAGCTTTGAAGAAGGAACAGCTCATTGGGAATAACGGCTGTAAATAAAACACATCTAAGAATGTCAAATGAGCGTTCAGGAAGATGTCATGTCTCTTTAATCTGACAGAGCCTTAAAGCATTATTGAGAGGTTGAGTAATGTCTCCAGAGGCGTCAAAACCAAACAAGAAACAACACGAAGCAATTACTTTCATTTTGTTAGTTAGATATGTGGCCAAACGTTGTTGTTTTTTTCAGATGAATCCACATTTCCAAAGAATGATTCATTACCTCCACAGACTCGAGGTTCCTGTTTTGATCTCCCCGTGCTCAAATGAAAAGAGTTTTTGTGCCAAGGAATAACTGCAGGTTGCCCTAATTATTCACATATGGGACCACACCAACCTCGCCACACAAGTGCACTGCTCTGTTCGACTTTGAATGCACAATGAAATGGAAAAAACATGTCCACGTTGCAGAAACAGGACAATTTGAATCCACCGAATTAACATTTATAAGCAGTTATAACACTTTCAATAAGTTGTTTAAATACACTATAGTGTATAATGTAGGTCTTATAATGTGTTTATTGCTCGATTTAACAACATCTTTAACTCCTCCTCTGAAGCTTCCATAAGTGGGTGTTGGCATATATACAGAGATAATGATTGACAGTACCGTTTAACATTGACGAGTTGTAACTATTTTAAATATGTCCTTATTGGAGAAGAAGTTAAATGCTCTCATTGTCCTACAATGTCCTAATAATGGGAGACAAGTGTTTTTCTTCAAATGTTCCTCTGCACCTTGCCTATATGGACGGAATAAAATGACAGATCGGTTGGAGATTTTCATTTTTGATGTGGTGTCATAATGAAACTTATTGGTAACCATAATGCTGATGTGGCACACTGATCAACAAGAAGATGAAACATTAATATGCACCACCAGAAATACAAGTCATCTGTCCTTCTAAAGCAGGTTGGAGATTTGAACCAAACAAACATTTATAGGCCATTAAAATGAGTGGACAGAAAGCATCCACCAAAACAATCACAACATCACCATATGTTGAAGTCAAGGTACTTAATATGTCCCAACATATATTGACAAGCAGACAACTATGTCTTAAATACTTAAAATATTTTCAAATGAATGTTTACTGACATCATTGATGTGAATATACATTGCCTGTTACCTAATAGGCAGTTTGCAACAATGGGGTAAGTCCTTTCATCATCGCGGCTCCCATATCTTTACAGCCACACCTTCCCCTCCCACTCTCCTCGAGTCTGTCTACTTGTCCTGTCATTAACCAGCTCCTATGCAAAGGATATGGCACCGAATACCATAAAGCAGCACGTGAAACAAGTCAAGACTGTTGCCTAACTGTGCTGCTAAGCATTTTTTTTTTTCCTCCAATACAGTCGCTACCTCTTCTGTGTGAAGTTACAAAACTCGGATGTGGACAGAGTCAAGAGACAGGCAGGTGACAGACACGATGAAAAAAAAAACAAAAGTGTCACTTTCAAAACATCCGTGCTTCTAGTTTGAGAAAGCACACATGTGTATAACTTTAAAAAATGTTCAGTAAATAGCAAAAAAAAATGCACTTTACACCTTCCCAGAGTCCAAATTGACAATTTCAAAAGTCTTGTTTTGTCTGACCAACAGTCCAAATCACAAAGATATTCAGTTTATTATCATGGGAGGCTAATAAAAAAGAAGTTATTCACATTTTAGAAGCTGCAACCAGTAAATGTTTGCTATTTTGGGCTGTGAATAAAATCCTTGATAATTAACAAATGATCAAAAGTGTTGCTGATTCACTTCACGTTGATCGACTAACCGATTAAGTGAGAAATAGATCCAACTCTAGTTGAAAATGGCACATTTTCCAGACTATTCCTCTGAATCGCTAATAACAGAGTAGGCATGCTTTTAAGTATATATGCCCTTTATTTTCCTATCATCAGTGGAGGCAGGATGGTGTGGTGGTTGGAGATTCAACCAAGCAGCTGCTGGCACACATCCACCCTGCTGAAGTACCACTGAGCAAGCAAGTGAGTGAGAAGTTAATTTCCCTGGGGAGTCACAACATTATCCCCTTAATCTCAACGTTGGCAGCTCTAAAAGCTGCTAAGACCTCATTAAAAAGTAGTTACAAGTATAATATAATAAAGTATGAACATGATTTATATCCATAACAATTTGGTCAGTCTAATAGATTAATTAAATTGCACGATTCGTTCAATGATGTATACGTGGTCTACATTATTCACAGTAGTTCTACAGCGGCCTGTGAATCGGACAACACTGCGCATGCGCACAGACCTGCAGGAATCCAAACTTCTTTTTTTTTTCATGACAGACCAACGCCTTGCATTGTGGCACAATCACGCCCGCGAATGAATCAATGACATGAAGTAACTTTGTGTTTTTAGAGCCCGAGAGGTAAATATGGAGAAGTTAGCGTCATTGAAACAGTCCGACAGGTGATAGCAGAGCGGAGCGGGGTTAGAAGAGCGGAGAAAAGACCCGAAGAAGAAAGTAGGCTAGAGGATTTGATCGTCTCACTTTCTCTCGGTGCTCCCGTTCACTGTCCAGCTCTCTCTGTAGGACCTGAGCTCGGTCCTCTGCGTCGTCGGCCTGCTGCTGCAAACACTGAATCTTCCTCTTCACCGCATCCAGAGAGTTCAAACCTGCCATTGTTGACTGTTTACTTACTAAATTTAAGACTACACGTTGAGGGTGGGGGGGGGGGGGGCAAAATGCAGTTTCTGGGTTGTGCGCAAAAAATAAAATGAGCTACTGCGTCCTGCTTTGTTGGTCTATATAGAATAATATGACAATAAGAAAAAAGACTTTGGTAAGAAAAAAAGACAAAAATCGATGTAGGTCCGGGGCCAAAGTCTTTGGAATGTAAAGGAGTCGTTCAAGTGTAAGAAAAGTTATATAACCAGGAAGTAACGCTGTCCAGGTGTTCTCCAAATGTTTCTTCTGGTCTGGAGGAATGATACGTTCGTGAGGCGTATAAAAGGTTGTCCTCAGGAATGTTGCAGTTTCTTGGTCCGGACGAGAGTTTGAGGAGAAGGATTAGAAAAGCTGCGCGGCGAGGAGAGCGCCAGACTGTGCCGGAGGAGGAGAGAGATGATCGGGATGATGAGGTCAGAGAGGGCGGGGCGTGTGTCCTGTAGTGCGTGTGTGTGTGTGTGTGCGTGTGTGTGTATCAAGGTCTATGGTGAGTGTATGTGTGTATGCTGATCCCTGTGACTGATATGATCATTGATGTGAGACTTTCAAAAGAAAAAGGACAATCAAGATGAGTAACTTTCAGATAAAAAAGGCCCAGTGCCCATAGTTTAGATGTCCCTTCACAGACTCTGGTTTAAAGTTTAAAGTCTCCATCCTGCTTGAAAACACAATCTGCAGTACAATGTGTAGTTGGATGACGAAACAACTTCCAACATTTCATTGGTCGGCTCAACTGACCTTATGAAGCGGCTAGAATACCGCCCGTGACATGCCTATCCTCATTAAATACAGTTTCCTTGACAATGTCATTATAAAAGTTCTACACAGTGAAGTATAACACTTGGACACCGGTATCGGTAAATACCCTGAATTAGGGTCTCACAATTGGGTTTGGGGGAGAAAAAGTTTGATCGGTGCATCCCGACCTGAGAGGTCAGTGATGCGACACACATCTTCTCAAATCTTTGCTCTTTTCTTGGGAGATGCTGAGATCACAGACTCAACAAATCAAAAGGAAACATCAAAACTGTTCAGTTGATCTACTCAGAACTCACAGATTTACACAACCTGTGAGGAAGGGGTCATGATTTAACATTACTTTGGTCATAAAGGGTCACAAGCTGAAAAAAGGTTGAGAATTGAATAATATGGTATATTGTGTAGAGTTAGAGTGATATATATATATATATATATATATATATATATATGATATTAGCTTAAAACATATCTGCGTACATACCAGTACATAAATGCCAAAAATATGATTTAAGGTATTCAGAAACAGTGTCCCGTTACTTATATTGTGTACCTGAGAGCTCTGACAAGTTCCTTTTAAAAGTGTAAAATGTCCCTCAGTACATCTGTAATCAACCAAATTCGAGGCGTTCTTATAAAAATGTTTATGTTATGTGTCAGGCAATAATATCATTTGATGATATGAACTGTCATAATTACTTACATTCAGTGAAATATTAAAAACCAAAGTTTATGGTTGTACCGTTGTACATTATTCTAAATGTCTTATGCATCATTTTTACAATTTACGATACAGCTCAGTCAGTATCAGGTATCGTTAAAATAAATACAAAATATTAATACAATTTCTTCTTTTTTTTTCAGTAAGTCAGAATTTAGGACAAAATTAAGAAAAGTGAGAGGACGGAACATTAGATACAACATACAGCAAACTAGCCACGTGGTGTATTTATACATTAATACACTACAGCCAGTCAAGATGCTACAGTAAATCTGTTCGGTAAACTTTTATACAATCATGCACAAATATATGCAACATCATAAATGTTTCTGCTTTTGAGGAACCGTGTGACTGTTTGTCTTGAAGGAGTATGCAAACAAACATCATCCACCACCTGCCTGCCAGTAGATGATGTTCATTGTGTGGGTGTAAATCAGATTTATGCTGCATCCTTCGTGTTTCCACTGCCGGCCCTGCCTGTGTTTACCCTCTCTGTTCTCTATTCACACGATCGGCCTTGTGGGCAAATATGCTGGCTGGACGAGCAACTAGGCCAGCAGATCTCAGCTCGCTTCACTTCAGGTCCAGCTCAAATTCAGTCCTGCTGTTCACCGTGAAGAAAAGAAAATCCCTCTCAATCAGTCGCATCTGTTGATTGAGCCTCTCTCTGTCTGATTTACCCCCTTGGAGCATTGATTTCATTAGACACAGGCGTGTGGGGCTCTCTGTTTGCCTTAGCTGCATTCCTGACATACCAGAGCCCCCCTCCCTGCTCTCTGCTTTCTCAGCCCGGCCGCCCCCACAGTCCAGCTTTCCCCTAAAACAGTAACTGTTGCCTCTGTGATTGCTGTTATCAATACCTGTAGTCCAACTACTGTCCGTGGTGCCACCCTCTTTGACTCTCACAATCTTAAGCCTTTGATCGCTCCTAAAGACAGACTCTCTGTCTCATGACTTAAATGTCAGCACCACCAGTCGATGGTGCAGGCACTATTCTTTCATGAATCACAACTGCTTGCTTGTTGAGGTCTTTGGCTCACTGTTCTGCTTTCCCAGCCCCCTCCAGGTTTCCGATCTGGCCGCGTTCTCTGTGTGAATTGAGATGTGTAACGACTTGACTGCTGCCTCTAATAAGTGACATGTGGAGGGGGATTCATGGAGGTGGAGCAGAGCGGCTTTACTAGCTGGAAATATTGAATATGTAGGACTTCACTAAACATCTATTTTTAACAAAACGTAGGAGTGGAAGCTACACCTAGTCCGGCTCAAACCACAACCTCAACAACTACTTTTTCACGGGGCCCACTCGACCCCCTTTACATGTGAGGCTTCTCAGAGCTACTCAGGAGTTTCTTTGATCACTGCGTGAGGATAATCGTGTCTCAGCCTCAGTCTCTGTGTCCGTATGTCAGACACTTCCCTTCTCTTTGTTCGTAGTACAACGCTGCATTTCCCTGGGATATCCTCCACAAGGCTCAAACAATACCACATCTTGGTGGCAGCTGGGAGGGTTTTTGTTTTCATGATGCTTCTCCCTGCACGGTTTGCTTAGTAATCCTGTAGGAATCACTGCTTAACTGGTAGGATCGGTATTTTATCCGTAAAAGTTCCCCTCTCTCTCTCCCTCTCTCTCTCCCTCTCTCTCTCTCTCTCTCTCTCTCTCTCTCTCTCTCTCTCTCTCTCACACACACACACACATACACACACACACACGAGTAAACACACATGCCTGTACACACAAGCACTAAAATGTCAGAGGAACCACCACTGATCTACAGCACTGTGGTTTGCGGTGTTGCCAACAATCTAAAATATGATCTTTTTTCCCAGATTGCAGCTGATTAGTCACAGGAAAACTGACATTTCCAATGTTCCGCTTACTGAAATTAATCAGTTGTGTATTCAAAAACATTCTCATAAATGTGAGAGTTAGTTTGGGTCTGATGAAGGAGGCTCAGTCGTCCTGTTATAGGATGATTCTAGATTCATAAAGGATTCTGCAGTGGCGGAAGAATTATTGAGAGATTTTACTTTAACCAAAAGTAAAAATACTCAATTACAAGTAAACGTTCAGCATAACAACGTTTACTTAAAGAGGATATCCAGTGTTGGGGAGTACTATATGCCTCACTTGAGGCAAAAAATCTGGGGGTTGGAACCAGAAAGATGTGAGCTTACCAGACCTCATCTCTGCTTCAGGCTTGTGGCTCAAGGCTACATTAGCATAGCATAACACACCTAAATCTCTGACCAAATTGTTGATATTGTGGAGTTGGATTGTGGGTAATGTAGGAGGCAGATTTTCACAAGGAAGAAGAATGTGTGAAATAAAAGCTGCTGCATTGAGTTTGATCTTTTTTTTTAAACTGTCCATCAGTCATAAAAAATCGATGGCGTAAAAACGTATTATGAGTTGAATATACTTTAAGTATCACAAGTAAATGTACTTGTTAGGCAAAATGATTGTTGTATTACTGGTATATTATTATGCATGATGTATAATAATCTATAATAAAGCATTATATTTTATGAGCTGATCACATATATGTTGTATAAAAAAAGATGATTGATTGATTTACAATTGATCTACAACTTCCAGATGAATGTAGTTTAGTAAAAAAGTGCAATATGTCCTTTTAAAATGTAGCGGTATAAAGTAGCATGGAATAGTAAAGTGCAAGTACCTCAAATAGTACTAATAAAGTACAGTATTTGCGTGAGTGTGCTTATATTCCAACACTAGACATCAACATCTATAGAACGTATGAGCTGGAAAGTATGTCTGTGGTAATAATTACATGACATATAACAGTAAAAAGCACAAAAACACATAATAAATCTGTCATGCTGTTGTCATTATAGTAAAGTCTGAATGTACAGTACACAAACTACTGGAACTGTCACACTGGACATCTACATAGACAGCAAGCTGCATGCTCCTAACAGGGATGATGATGATGATCAACAATACAGTTTCTCTGTTGCTCTGGTTTGAAGGACCTGATTGAAAATCTAGCTGTTATCAGTAAGAACAAACACCTGGGACCATGGGCCTAAAGTGTGTGTGTGTGTGTGTGTGTGTGTGTGTGTGTGTGTGTGTGTGTGTGTGTGTGTGTCCTCTGGTTGAAGTACTGCTGACACCACTACTGACTGTTTAAGTATCAGTTTACATGAAGAAAAAGTTCTTAAATTCACAGCGTTTGCTGTTTCAAGTTGTGAAAGCAGACACATAGCGCTAATTTACAAAACACATATTAAGCATAAATCTTAAAAGATTATGCTTAAAAGTGTGTGTTTGGGTGAGTTGGTTACAGTTTATCCATGTGCTCATCTTTCAGGACTGGCTGCACAGGAATGTAACAGTCTCTGAATTGCTCCAAACCATTCACTGTGGATCAAAGTAAACCCACAGCTGGTGCTGGCTTAGAACCATCCAGCTGTGGAAAGATGGACTCTGGTTTTCAGCGGTGCCATAGGTAAGTGTGTGTCAAAGTCGAAAAAAGCAAATCATTAACGACAACAGCAGAAGCCCCTTGTCAACACGTACTCCCTCGCTAAGGAATTAATAGGACTGTATCATTATTACTGTAAAGGAATCGCAGTTTCACTTCACATTTTTAGTCAGGTGAAGTGAAACTGACCCCCCCCCCTGTGTGTGCGTGTGCACAGTCTGAGTGTGTGACCCTTCACTCACGTCTGCAGCTGTCTTCTCAGACAGTTCCAGTTTCTCCTGAGCATCTTTCAGGCCCTCAGAGAATTTGTCCAGTTCGTCCTCTGTCTGCTTCATCTTCTTCTGGAGGTCCATCAGTTCATCCTCCATCTACAACAGGAGAGACTGTTAGTCCAGTTCACTACGCCTTCTCAGGTCACTGTGTCTTTATCCAAATTCTACGTTTGTCTGTTGTTGTTTTTTTGTTATCCAACGCCTTTCCCCAGT